TGCATCTGTAGATTGGATGGCTACAATCAGAAATCAAATGAACAGCAAAAAAAGGCATTTTTCCAAATCTCAACTCAATGCTCTTAATCTAAGAGTAACCTCATATGAAAATGAAAATCCCTAGAAATGCAAGCACAATAGAGCACATTATTATTATGATAACCACAATAGAACATTTACCCTATATCATCTGGCAGTTGCATGTGTGCAATAACACCTCTGCATGTCCTTAAAGGAAGCCTCCCTGTAAACTCAGGAAGCATGTTTGTTTTGGCACCTAGGCATATTATCACAGCATCATATTCCCCTAAAACATAAAAAGCAAACTTAAAATTAAACCATAAGGAGAAAACAAAAAACTGTGTATGCACAATAACAAATCCATACTGATATGAAGACACATCTTTAACAACCATCTTCTGTTACCATGCATAGCAATAGCATCAAGCCTCAAAACACTTCCACATCTTTTTATTTGGTTGTGTGTGTAACAATTTCAAACATAAAATATAAGCGATGCCTAGCTATATAATATGGACTTGGCGATGGCAGGCTTCGACCACCATGTCTCGCAAGGTATATCCTACTAGAGTAAACTGAATTTGATTGTAAAACTTTATTTTAGTGATGGTTACCTTCTAATTCACGGAGTTCATGGACAGATTTCTTGTGCAAACACAGTTTTCTCTTCCCAAAACCAGAAGTAGACAATTGTTCCAGTAAATTTTGACATGCTAAGAAGAGTCCCTAGAATAATAACCACAATCACTAAAATGAAAGTAATGAAGAATGGAATGAAATCTGTTGAAAAAACATAACTTAGTTCTTCAAACCTGGAGGTAATGCAGAGGATGGACATTTACAGCTTCAGGCATATAAAAAGCCAAGTCAAAAGGCACCTGAAGCTTTGGGACAAGCTTTTGGGCAGCATCCTTATCAAGGGCCTCTACCCTGCAACTGGCTAGGCAGTTCCGTGCATTCTGTTGCATAAAGAAAGAGATGCCACTGAAATTATAAAGACAGAGCTTACTTATTGAGTGATTTGTAATGCTATGAGAAGGATAAAGGTAAGTACATCATTCAATACATCCAAAGTCTTCATGTTTGTTGCTGGTCTCAAGATGCCCCTGGTAAGATTGAACTTTATTAGAATGATATGGCAAATGCATTGTAGCTGCTTCAATGACCACACAAGCTTACAAGCTATATCTAAGAGGAAAGACATTTTAACCAATTTTTTTCACGATCTACAAACAAAGAAGCAAACAATTTTTGTTTTTACTATCATTTTTTATAATGGTTCAATTAATTTATGAAGATGAAATGCCCTTACAAGTCTGGGGGTGGGGTTCAAACTGCAAACTTTTGCTGTTCAAAGCTTTTGCAAAGTGGCCAGTCTATATGGGACATTTGTGGTTAAAGATGTTATGGGTGAAGACTAAAATTGCAAACAGACCTTCTCCGAACCATAAACCCATTGAAATTTTGACCAAATTCCCCAGTTTCTGAATCAGATTTATTAGAACCAACCGCTGCTTCAGCAATGCTCAAAAGCTCCAAACATTCCTTCCAACACTCAGCACCCTTCCATAGAGGCTTGACTGTGAAAATTTTCCCGGATAAGCCCACCACAAGATTCCATTTGTAAAGATGCAAATTCTTTCACATCCAAACATATATGAGAATAATAGAAGGAGCAAAAGGGAAAGCGATGGAAACCTTTAGGGGAATAAGGGTGAAGGAGTCCTCCAGACACTCCTGATGCACCTCCTCCAATGCCAACTTCATCATAAATGTCAATGTTAAGTTGCGTTTCCCTCGGACTGTTCTGCAAAGATAAAATTTTCATGGAATCTCACATAAAACACTGACTCCGGAACTAACAGCTCAATAAGAAGCAACAAGACATTAAATTTGCCACCCCAGCTTGGCTACCACAATCAAGGGCTAACATAAATGACATAACTTTAACAATCCGAATTTCCTGCATCCCAGTTCCAAATAGATTGATGGGTTGGAGAAGAAAGGTGGAGAGAGATTACCCTCAGCAAATGCCAAGTAACAGACAGACCAGCAAAACCAGCACCAAGAACAGCGTATCTGCATTAACAACAAGCAATTATCCTCGAACCTGTTTAAAGTGTTAAGAATACCTGTCTGTAAACATAAATGCATATCGAAGTATGCAAAAGAGCAAGAGGAAAAGGATACCTGAGAGGACGTAGCGAGAGAGAAGACGCCATGACTGGTGACGGTGAGGTGCTTCTTCCACTGCGAGGAAGCCGAGAAAGACCATGGGTCGCCGAGGATATGGGATTGAACTGAAGCATCCTTCCTTGCAAAGGAGGGGCACGGCTGTCCTAGGGAGTTTAATTTTTATTAGTTGAAGGGTGAATTTTATAATAAATCCTCGAAGTTTGGCTTAATGTGCAATTTGATGATAATTTCTAAAACTTCGAATGTGCTTTGAGGGTAGGGTTTCTGGTAGTCCCCGCATTTTACTTCAACGTTGCATTTGGTCATCAGAGACTACAGTGTTCAATTAAGTCCCTAATCATTTAGAACTTGTTAAATAAAATCTCATTTTTCTGTGTTACAATTTTTTTTTTATTATCCTCTCAGTAACCGGTTCTGATTAAATTAAGTCTTGAATCTCATTTTTATAATACTCAAACTCAAAATTTTATTTCAAAAGTTAATAAATGTACTTTTTAACCAAGACAATAAAAATATAATCTAATTATAAATTTATTAAAATATTCTTAATAAAACTCGACTCTCCTGTTTGTTAATTAATATGGGTTACTGCAGTAACTTTGATGCAAAACATGCTTGTCCCACACCATTTTCGGTGCCAGGCTGATTCCTTGATATTTCAGGTATTATTCAAGGCTACAGCTAGTATATATCTTAATCCTAATACAATTTCTACTGCCGGAAAAAAAAAAAAAAATCTCTTCGACTCAGTAACAGATCAGTGCTTTAATTAGAGTCTAAGAAAGACTTTCTTCAATGCTGCCACTGCTGCTGTCACTCCACTCAAAGCCGCTGGCATTACAACTAGAAGCTTCTGATTGCAGTAAATTGCTCGAGTCATGCTAAGGTAAAGGTAGCAATTTGTTTTGATAATAATTTGTAAGTTGGATCATGCTTTTCGAACAATGACGTGCCTCTCTCGTTGGTATTCGACTTCACCCCTCTGGTGCATAATTAAGATGGCTCTTCTAACCTGCCAAAAGCCATTGTAATGTAAATATAAAACTGGAAATGGTGAAGCGTAATAACTCCAAGGTCATTCATACATACTGGCATTAAGCAAATTTGAATTGCTCCAAAGTCTGCTTTCTTACTCTTATGAATTTACTAGTTGAGGAAGTGCATATTATAAGGCATTCAAAATAAATTACTTACGATAGATTCATTCATCCCCATTCTAGTTAGATCATCAATCAGCCTTCTCTCTGATATGCGATTTCCGATGCCCAATCTTCTCTTTACCTGAGTTTCTGCTTGCTATTTATGCAGAAAAATTATTATCAAAGCCTTGAGAAAAAGCACAATGCATTTAGACAAACATATACAATGATGATGGGCAACATTGCCTACAAACCTTTATGTCATTGGCCATCTCAGGTGTAAGATTAATTTGCTGATTTATTCCCGATCGGGCTGCATCCATTGTGGAAACCTTAAAAAGTCTTAATGCTTCAGCCACATCGCTTTCAGTTGCAACATAAGACCTGAAATAATAGTTCAAGTAAGCTTGAAGAATCACAAATTTTAGAGGTCTTTTTAATCACCATAAATAAATAAATAAATAAACAGCATCACTGATGACAGTTCCCTTTCTTTGTTTTGAAAACAACATTTTGATGCTCGGAAAGTAGCAATTACCATGTTATAATGAATTCTGCAATTGCATTTCCTAAATTAGACATGAATATTAATCCTCTTAGTGACAAACACTCTGAACCAGTGAAGTTTTTCTAGTTCCCATTCTAATCTTAAAGAGATAAAAAAAAATGGAAATCAATTTCGCGAGTGGCATTTTCCACAAAGAGAAATGAAATAAACAGTGCATGATTCAAGTATAACACATACTTACAGTTTCATTTTGGCCAGAGCCTCACTTAACCTTATGATGGCTTCCAGCTGTCTCACGGTAATGGGTATTGCAGCAGCCTCTCCAGTTTCATTTGCTTGCTGCCTCATAGCCTACAAGAAGCATCATTTGATAGATCATGTTATTCAGCACATTAAGGACAAATTTTGTTTTAGCAAGTACACATGTTCAGCTTATCATTGTGACTTGTGCAAAACTTTGAGTGGAATTCTACTTTTGTTCAAAAACATTTAAAACCTGTAGTATCAACTTTATGTGCTCATTTTGGTTGATTTTTTAAAACCTCAAATTCATTAATAACTTCATTCCTTCATGGTAAAAGTAAATACCCTTCTGATATCAACATAGTCTCCCTTCAGTTTTTCAACTGCAGATTCTGAAAGGCGAGGGTGGCATTCTGCTCTACAGTATTGTATATACCTAAAAAATTTGCAAATCAAGACAGTTTAATAACATATCAATATTCTAGAAGCCAGCATAATTGTGAATAAATGATTAAGTTATTTATGTTCCATATACCTCTTTAGCCAGTTCTCTTCTTTAGAAGATTTTCCATCAGCTGCTGCTGCCTCAGCAGATGCATGAACTTTTATGATATGGCTGGCTATAACCTGGAAAATGAGACTTCTAGTTTATGAAATTGTAGAGTTATGATACATAAACAAGTCATGTTGATAGCATGCCCACATGTTCATTAGGAATCAGCTGTTCCATAAATATCAGAAGAATACTTGTCGCTTACAAAAAAGGCTATTCTGATGACTATGTACTCTTTTGCTAGAGAACCTCATCAGATATATGATTCATTATTGAAGTGCTGATTTTCTGCCTTTAAATGAACAGGCAAACAAAAAGAAACAATTCCATTTCCTTGGATAGGCAAATGAGGAACCTTATATGAAACACATTACAATACCTTATCTTGGTCATAGATCCGCAGATCTTTCACAATGAAGATTAAATCAAATCTAGAAAGTATTGTTGTCTGCAAATCAATATTATCCTGTGCAGTCTGCAAGGTGAAAATATTGTTTTAGTTACAAGATAGGAAATCACAAGTATGCATCCAAGGAGTTAATGAAGATGGAATGGTATATGTAGCCATGGACCTTAAGATCATCGTAACGTCCTGAAGGAGGGTTAGCAGCTGCAAGTACCGAGGTTCTTGAATTCAGGACTGTAGTTATTCCTGCCTTGGCGATAGATATTGTTTGCTGTTCCATGGCTTCATGAATAGCAACTCTAGGCAAAATAAAGGAGGTAAAACTCGATAAGAATCAAATAACAGAAACTAGGACCATAAATATCTAATTTTAGGTTACATTACCTATCCTCTGGTCTCATCTTGTCAAACTCATCAATACAAACAACACCTCCATCTGCCAAAACCATAGCTCCTCCTTCAAGGTAAAATTCTCTCTGGTCAAAATGAAATGTGCATTAATGCAATAAAATTCACATTTCAGGGAAAACAAAAACTTATATCATAGAGAAGCTTTCTCTAAAAATGGAGGAACCAACAAAAACAACCAGCATAATGCTGAAGAAGGTCAAAAACTTACAGAGCTGTTATCTTGAATGACAGAAGCTGTAAGACCAGCAGCTGATGAACCTTTCCCAGATGTGTATACAGCTATAGGGGCTGTCTTCTCAACAAACTTCAGGAACTGTACAGGTTAATCATTCAAATCACTAAATCACCACTAGTATGTGGAATGGAAATAAGAGAATAAAGCAGCTTATGGCTTAAATAACATTAGTGCAAATAGTCCAAAACTAAATGGAGGAGGCTTTTCTAATTTCAAAAGAGTCGGGAAAGAAAGTGCCTGGAAAGCAAGTAACATACTTGAAAGTCTAGCAGAACCCTAACAAACCAAGAAAGAAAACACTAACCTGTGACTTGCCAGTAGACGGATCGCCTAGAAGCAACACATTGATGTCACCTCTTAATTTCACCCCATCTGGCAAATTCTGCAGTTGCACAAAAATAGGTTGTGATAATAGCAGATTATGGTAATATTAAAAAATTGAAGTTGGAAAATCAAACCTACCTTCCTCGATCCTCCAAAAAGAAGACAAGCAACAGCCTTTTTAACATCATTGTGACCAAAAATAGAAGGAGCAACCCTGGAGCATATGGTTTCGTATGCATCTGGGTGTGAGGCAAATTTTTTGAATTCTTCTACCTGCCAAAATTACCATAGTGATAGCAATTAATCAGTACAGACCAAAAATGTTCATCCTCACCAAGCAAAGGTGGAGATGAATGTGGTAGCTGAATGCCAACTCTAAGCAGAAAGTAAAACGAATTTTGGTCATATTTGAAAAAAAGAAAATAATAATAACAGAACAAAGGATTAGCTTAAATCAGAGTGGTCAAGGTAAAATTAAAAAAAAAGGTTCCACGCAGTGTGGATGATTCAGTTTCCAGTTAAAAACCATTTTTTATATATTTTAGAAACTCACTTCTTCTTGTGTGAAAGATGCAGGACCTCGAGAACTGGCTTCATTGGTTTCTTCCATTCCTACAACCCTGATATAAGGCTGTCTAACAGCTACTGCTCCTTTATGACTGCAGAAGATCAGATCAAATTTCTGCTTAGAATCATGTGAATGACATATAAGAATCATTCAACCCACATTAAAAAGAGAATCTTACGAAGCAGATGAACTGGCTGATTGAAAGATACTATAAATACCCATGATTGTCAATCTCGTCCCAGGTACAATTGTCTGTACAAGACGACGATCCACAGAAAGAAGCATGTTTCTTGGAAGCTCCCCAGTAGGAACATCCTTCAATATAACATCAACAACCATGAGAAATAAATAAATAAATCCATGACCCAGTTACATGATCTCTTAAATAACATCATGATAATTACCTCGGGATTCTCCTGCAATTTCAGCGTTTGCTGATCAACATATTTACTCTTATCAGGAACAACAATCCAAGGATCAATGGGGCAAGGCTCTTCTCCAGGCTACAAAATTCCCAATACTCTGATTAAAGCTCTGACTACAAATAAATGAAAGAAAGGAGTAACTTGAAACAGAGGAAACCTGAGGAATATGGTCACATGATCGAGGGACAATTGCCCCACCAAGTCCTGGTCGGCATGGAACTGTCCTAGGACTTTTACAGTTCTTGCATATTAAGTGCACGTAAGTGGCCTTTGCCTTAACCCTTGAAGCAGCAATGGTAATCCCAGATATCTTAACCAGTTTTGAGATAAATTGGGCCTGCCCATCAAAAATATTAAACTAGTTTCACAGCAAACCAAGACTAGCCAGTGGATGAAATTATGAAAAACTTTAAACCAATTCTTCAACAGCATCGAAGTAAAGATCTTCAGTTCTATTGTCTCATGTGCCCAAACAAAATACAGAATTCAAATTTCAAACTTACACCAAGAGAACGCATGGACACTGGATCTTCCTTAGAGTTTAGCAAAATTTGGACCTCCTCAGTGTGGGGCTCCACCATTTCCCCCGTGTCTCCTGCTACTCTCATCTTTAGACTTGCCAAAACCTCAGCTGCGGCCGTCTCAAACTGCCAATTCACAAAAATAGGACCACCCAATCAGATTCATACAAGCGCTCACAAATACCCAACCACGCGAACCAAAATTTCTCAGCATTTATTCTCATAAACCCTAATCTAAAGCTAATACAACACAAGACAAACAAAATCCATAACACATGTACATAGGAGAAATATAAAATTGGAAAACCTTACCAGTGGCAGGTAATCGGAGGGAGAGTATCGGAGGAGTGAAGGCAGATCAGAGTCGAAGGATAGGAGGTCTTCGAGGCGGATCACCAGGAACTCAGGGTTGTTAACCAGGCTCTCTCTGTACGGAAACAGGTTCCTCTCAGTTTCGAAGTTTCTGATAAACTCCTTAAACTTTTGGAGAATCGAGTGGCGGCTGGCGGCGGATGCCGCCTCCGCTTCCGGGGAACCATCCGGAAACTGTGCTTGGTCGCTGTAGTAGACTCCTCCTTCGTCCCACCCTGACATCTTCTGACGGTCTGTTTGGCTACCTTAGCGTTAGGGAAGGAAAGAAGAAGAAATTTTACCTTCCGTCGCCGCGAAGACGGGATTTTTCTGCCCTTTCTCTTTCTAGCTTCTGCGACCAAGTTTTGTTTTGGCGGGAAATAATGCCAGTTTGGCGGGAAATGGAATGGAGTGGAGAGGAGTGGTACGGCACGTGCGTGTTGCAGGTGACGTCTGTCGTAATCCGTTGGATTGTACATCAAAAAATTGATAATTAAAACCAAAATTAAACGCCGCTGCCGGGGATCGAACCCGGGTCGCCCGCGTGACAGGCGGGAATACTCACCACTATACTACAACGACTTGGATGGGGGGAAGTGGTTCTGTTATATTCTTATAATTGATTTTCTGGCCATGATTCATTGATATTGAAATTTCACGATATAGTCGCCCTTTACAGGGAATCGAACCCGGGTTGTCCTCATGTGACAGTCGCGAATAATGAAAAATGAGGTTTTGGGGCCGACATCTAAGGCGCCGGACTCAAGTTCTGGTTCTCAACAGGAAGCGTGGGTTCAAATCCCACTTCTGACCCTTTTTTTTTGGTCCGCAGGTTGTAACTTCTTTTCTTTGGGGAAGAGTTAATTGGCATGCACTATTGCACAGGCCAAAAAATAGATGGTACAAAATTACTTTTCTTTATCTGAAGATAGTTCTAAAAGCACACAGATCACAAGCCCCATATTAAGAAAAGTCAAGACATAAACAATCTAACAGTAGAATGCACAGATCGATTGCCAAAACTTAGATCACACTAGCTACATATATATATATATATATATTATATATGTATCTATCCTTATATATATCCTCTCTATTTTTGTAATACTAACACTACTTCATGTCTCCTTCTTCATTCAGTTTTTTAGAATGTGGCTTCAATAATCCAGATAAAAGTTTCAATGCATCCTCCATGGAAGGCCGATCTGAGGGCCTGCTTCTGGTGCAGAGCAGAGCTACTTCAAGAACCAACTTGATCTCCTCTTGCAATGAAATAATGTTAGCTACCGCTTCATTGTCTTTGTATATTTCTCTTAGAAGAACATCCCTTGACTTAATCTGGATGCTGGCTCCAGCGTTTGTCAGTCTTCCATTGGTTACTATTTCCAGGATCATCTCCCCAAAGCTAAAGACATCCATGTATAGTTCCTCCTTGTTGAGATCACTGAATTGACCTATTTGGAAAAAAAAAATCGAAAATAAGAACCAATTCAACAAAAAGGCTATAAATTTTGAACAAGGAATCAAGTATGTATGTTATGAACGTGTATGATAATGAGCTAACGAAACTGAGGTGGCCTAGCTAGTAAGAGATTCCGAGTTCGGGTTTGGCTTGCATGGTATGCAAATTATCTAAAATAATAAGAAGAAGAAGAAAAAGTGTGTGATAGTGAGACTACCTGTTTCTTTTCTGGAATATGTTGAAGGGACTGAATCTTTTGTCAACTGCACCATATACTTAAACCCAAATTCAGCAAGATGGGGCTCCATATTATCATCAAAAACAATGTTACTTGACCTCAAATCTCCGTGGGGGATAGCAGGAATGCAGTCATGGTGAAGGAAGCAAAGACCCTTTGCAACCCCTAACACAATTCTGTATTTGGTTGCCCAATCCATCTGCCCTGAAATTTTCTCGGCCAAATTCTCACTGGGTAAGTAATCATAGAAAACATAAGCCAGATGATTGTTGTGGCAAAAACCCAGTACTCTGATCAAGTTTTCATGCCTTGTATTTCCCAACCTTGTTATGAATTCCGATACTACCTTCATCTTCTTTGGATCCCACTCGATTTTTTTCACCAGAACTGTTATTCCGGTTGGTAGCACCGCTTTGCAAACTGCTGCTGAAGGGGGTGGTTGCGGCGCCGGTGCTTCAATGGAATTGAAGCTCTTTAAGACGTCGTTAACCGTGAACTGGGGGAGTCCGGCGAAGGAGACCATTTTCCATTGCCTTTTGGTTCCTTTTCGGATATGGATTATCCAGAGAACTGATGCTGTTATGAAAACTGTTACCGCTGCACAGAGAAGGAGAACCAGTCGGAGTTTTCCGCTGCGTATCGCCATCGAGCAGGGTTTTAGAGGCGCTCCACAGAGGTTTAGATTTCCAACGTAAGCATTTCTACCCATTGACTGCAGCGCCTTATCCGACGGAATAGAACCGGAGATATCATTGAAGGATACATTCAAAAGAACTAGGCTTGAAGACTTGCCCAACTTTACCGGAATCTGGCCGGTTAGGTTATTATGAGACAAATCAAGAACAGCTAGAGCCGGTAGAGTTGCAATCTCCTCAGGTATATGACCTCCCAACTTGTTGTTCGACAAAATGACTGACTGAAGAGCCCGGCAATTGGAAATGCTATTTGGGATGGTTCCTGATAGATTGTTTGTGTGGAGTTCAATAACAGTAAAGGATTTGCAGGATTGGAACGGAGGAATGTCACCGAAGATGTTACAGGATGATGCAGAGAAATTCTGAAGAAGTGGCGAAGACCATGTTTGTGCTGGGATCATGCCACCCAGTTCAGGGTTGCTGGAGACATTGAAGTACTGGAGCTTTGAAGCTTGGAAAATATAGCCAGGGATCCCACCAGAAAACTTGTTTCCGGATAAATCCACGTACGTTATCTCAGGAAGATGGCTGAATTTCAGAGGAATTTCTCCGGAGAATAAATTGTCCTCGAGCCGGAGACGAACAAGGGAAGAGCAATTGGATAGAGAAGGTGAAAGGCTGCCTGAGAAATGGTTTGAAAACATGAGCAATTTAAATAGAACACCGGAGGCACAGATGTCAGGGGGAATGCTGCCAACGAAACCGTTTGTGGAAACATCCAACCATCTAAGCTTTGAGTTCCTGCCCAAGTTTTCTGGAAGTGAACCAGAGAAGGCATTGTTCCATAGAAACAGTGTATCAAGGGATGGAAGTTCTGCAATTCCTTCAGGGACAGTACCATTCATTTTATTGAAGAACAGGCTGAGTAGTCTGAGATTCTTCAACTCTGCAAAGCTCTCCGGTATTGGTCCTGTAATGTGGTTATCAGAAAGATCCAAGTTGATCAGAGGGATGATTTTGCTGAACTCCCATGGAAGCAATCCGGTGAACTGGTTTCTGAAGAGAAAAAGGGACTGAAGCTTGGTGAGATTTGAGAGCTGCTTTGGGATTGAACCAGAGAGATTTGCACCCGCAATGTCAAGATACTGAAGCTCACTCATGTTGCCAAGTTGCCATGGGATGCTTCCTTCATAAGAGTTGTAGCCAATCTCCATATGTGTCACAGTTTTAAGCTTACCCAATTCCGGTGGGATTTTTCCGGTGAGGGAGTTTCCAGCCAGGTGAAGAAACTCAAGGTTCTTGAAAAAGCCATATTCTGATGGGATGGGTCCATCAAAGTAACTACCCGCTAAATTCAGAACCTTGAGATGTTCAAGCATGGAAACTTCAACAGGCAATGGCCCTGAAAAGCTGTTGCTGAATGCATCAAGAACAACCAGGTTTTGAAGACCGGAGACTCCACCAGGGAAGTGACCGGAGAAATTGTTTCTACTGATATCCAAGCTTGTTAGACTGGTAAGATTGAAGATTTCCACGGGAAGTTGGCCAGAGAATGAATTGTCACTGATGTTGAGATCAACAAGCTCAGAGAAAACACTGAATTGCCTCCCTGATAACACTCCACCAAGATTCATCATGGACAGATTCAACCCAATAACAACGGTGGAATTCTTGCTGCATTTGACTCCAGACCAAGAACATGCATAGACTCCCCCAGATGGGTTTCCTCCGGAAGGCACCAACCAATCTCTCAAACTGTTCGAATCATCAATAATTTCAGATTTCAAGCTCAAAAGAGCCTCAGAGTAAGTATCAGCAGCTCCCATTACTACAACTAACAATGAAGAAGATAGGAGGAGATTGTAGTACAGCCATTGGAATATCTCCATTGGAACTTGAGTGAAGAAGGAGAAGAAAGAAGGGGGCGGCTACAGCTCACTGCAATATATCAGTATGTATATGTGTTTGGGTGAATGAATGCATGGGGAATGGAGAAAGGAATAGAGAGTGAGGAGGTATAGTGACTGGTAGTTGATATGAGAATATTATTGGGGAGCAAGAGGTGGGCTTGTGGGCTTTGTTTATTTCGATTGTGTTGGCCATTAGAGAATAAAGTTTTTTCATCTTTTGGTGTGTCATCTTTTTCTTCCTTTTTCACAGGAGAGAATCCAACACAAATATATTGGTACCCATTATTAGGTGTATTTTATTTTGAAATGGTATATAAACAAATTATTCAAATCATCACCATCCATATCTTTCTATAAAAATCATAAAGTTTTTTTTGTACAGTCTTTAGGGGATTGAAGTTGATCACAGAAATGAGCTTCTTTTAATCAAACCAAAGTGATCACTTCATGATCAGTTTAGGGTTAAAATATGCAACTCATTAATTTCTTTTTAGTTTGGTGCAACAGTTTTTTCCTTTTTTGTCATACACGGACAAGATATGTTCGGACTGAAGTTGAACAATGTTTCTTTGAATTGACAGAAGCAGCTGCAGGGAAAGGTAGAGGGGTAAAGACAACAGTATATACAGTGAATACAGTGATAGAAGATAACGACCATTATTTTATATTGTTTTTTATAATCAATCATAAAATAAAAATTATTTGATAAGAAAAAATTATTAATATTAGAAGGTCTTCAATATTAAGAGATTTTTTCTCATTAAATAAATAATATTTACAATTTAAATTATAATATATTTTTAAAAAATTATTATTAATATTATCATTATTATTATTATTTGTTCTGCTTGATTGTTGATGAGCTTAGCTTTTTGCGTCCCCGGAATATTGATGATGAGCTTTGCTTTTGTGTCCTTGAATATAAACGGTAACCCCACCTGGACATGTGTGTTCCTTGGCAGTGACTATTTGCCCTGGATGGTCCACCTGAGAATCCAATCATTAAAACCCAAAGACTGATCCTTTTGCTGTCTTTTTTTTT